TGATAGGAAATTTCATTCCCTAACCTCCTGTTTCCCTGGGCTATAAATATTGCTTTAAATGGAAGCAATAGAGACATATTTAAGGTTAGAGCAACAGTTAGGAAAATTAAAGCTGCAATTAGTGAGAAAATAACCTGTAAGAGAACCTGAGCATTCTTTAATGAGTGAGATTGTATAAAATTCAAATTGGAAACTCATGTGAAATTAAAGCTGTGGTAAAATTTTGTATGATTTTTCTTAGAATTTGTTAGTTAAAGAAATGATACGTTTCAACAAATCATAAAATGGTCACTTTTCTTGACATATTGCAGATTATTGTGTTCCAGGGAAGAAACACTCAAATAATACACTGGAAAAAAAAATCTAGAATCAAGTAAAAAATTCTTAAATTAAGTGTACTTAACCTTGATTTGAATAGGTAAATGAGATAATTTGCCAACTGAATAAATATTTTCACTCTTAAAATAACATAATTGGATAATATGCATATGAAATAAGACAATGCAATTGTGTTTTCTTATTTGTAAACTATATTGTCTCGTTCCATTGGCAAAATATCTCTTATCTCCTTAATTTAAGAACAAATGCACTTATTTTAAGAAAAAATGACTTATCAAAATGTTTATTTTTTCCATTGTAGACTTGTTTGTACACCAGTCTTTTTGGTATTCCAGCTTAAATTGATGACAGAGAAATGGAAGTACAATAGAGTACCCTAGGAGAGTGTTTGATGATAAAGGTAGCCCATAGACACATGAAGTAAACCCATGAAGAACTATAGGCTTTGCCTGTCCTGCTTTACATACCTTATGGTAAATGGTAAATGGCCTGTATTTATAAAGAGCTTTTCAAGTCAGGATACTTGACCAAAGCGCTTTACGCTACATTCAGTCATTCACCCATTTACGCACACACTCAAACACTAGTGGTGACAAGCTGCATTGTAGCCACAGCTGCCCTGGGGCTCATTCACAGAAGCAAGGCTTCCGTACTATGGCGCCTACTGACCACCATCAATAGACAATGCAGGTTAGGTGTCTTGCCCAAGGACACAACAACATTTGAACCGAAAACCTTCCAGTTGAAGGTCGAACTCCTGTATCAGACACCACTGTCGCCCCTAATGCTCATTACTGGCCTCCAAGTTTCAATACATTTCGAAAAATTTCAAACCTGAATTATTTATTCTACTACCTGTTTTTATTAATTTTTTTATTTTTGCTATCCAATCAATAAACAGCAAAACTAAATTATCTTGGGATTACAGTTAGTGAGCAGCAATCCTTTACAGAAGTTAGGCTGGACTTCTCCTGTGATTAAATGCATGTCTAGGCTCCTTTCTATGCTGTCTGCTGCAACCTGCAGCCTGTCAGATACAACGACGGCTTCACAGCTGTACATATGGCAGCAAGTCCCCTTAAAATGCACGCGCACTAAGCTGCGACGTACAAAATTTAAGCCTGCTTTCTCTGAAAGGAGGATTTGAAGAAACAAGCCACAGCTCTAAAATCTGTCCTTTCTGCTTGAGAAGATACGTGAATTTTTTCCACCCCATTTTTAATACCCTTTTAATGAGATGACTGAATTATGGATTGAGTACAACTTTAGTAGGAATAAAGTTTCTTCTCCTGAACATCAATTTAAGTGCATTTGAGGTCTGGGCTTGAGATTCACAAAGATTATCTCATTTATTTGAGAGCGAGCTCTCGTGCTTGAGATGGAGACTTTTTAATATTTATTTTTGGTGCATAGGAATTTGTGAGGAGAGTTGTAAAAGTTTGATTGGGTTATAGCCTTGCCTGCCCTCCCTTTCATGATGCTGGGCGAGTGCTCTAAAACTTGAAAAGTCCTTTCTGTATTTCTTCTGTCTGCCCTCTCTTCAGCCCTCATCACTGCATCTACAGCGAGCCCCCGAGCTGCTGCGACAGCCGGAACGCCGGTCACGACTCCCTGCTCCACAGCTCCCTATAAAGCATTTACATATCCATTTAAAAAAAATCTTTTTTCTCATTTTAATTTGCTTTGCTGAGTATTCCAGCTCTTTTCTTTTCTGTACCCATCCACCTCCCTCTCCACCGTTCTTTTTTTAACGCCACACACGGTCCATGGATGCTCTGCCTCTGGTTTCAAGACAAGCAGATTAGACTTGCATGAGGTCCCGGCCTATGCATTTCCCCATTAGGAAGCTCAGAGTGTGACCGCATATGTGTTTTGCACAGTGGGTGTGTAAAGCGCATGCTAATGCAGGTTGGAGAGATGACAATCCAATGGAGACACATTGTGTGGGTCGTCACTTAGAGAAAGGAAGACCTAGAACTGCAGACAGAGGCAGAGAAGAGAGGGCCACTGTCTGCTTCCACACAGCACTTTTTAACTTCACTTTCGATTTGCACTCTACAGACCCACAGGCCACTATGAAACCGGCTTTTGTGAGTATTGATTCCCTTATAGACAGCAGCTCTGTCAGCGTTATTAATCATGTCAATCTGTTCTAAATGGCTCAAATTAAAGTATTTCTGTGGGTAATTGTTTTCCATTAAAGCTTTTTCTGTTGTTATCCACTAGAAAGGCTAAGTAGCATCACTGGACAATCCAGGAGTTTTCTAATAGTTTCTCTGAAGGTTTTCCAATTGTATTCAGTGATGCATCTATTAGCCTTTTTTCAGTCACTCATGATTACAGTTTTCTGTTAAGTCTCACATGGTGATCAGATTCTAAATATCGTATGTTTAATGAATTTATTGAATGAAGGGTCTAAGATTTGAAAGTTTGACCAACAGATCAGAGGATCTTTCACCAGATTTGATTGTTTCTTCTGTAATTTTCATTTTTAGGTCCATTTATTTTGTGTAATTCTGCAGCTTGCTAAAAGAAAAGAGACACTTTGCTGCCTGTTCCTTTACTAGCTGAGGTTTTATAATATATACATTTTTTTTATTCAGCTCAGGCCTTTTTTATAACCGTGAGAAAGCCTAAAAAACCCACCACATTCTTCAGATTCTAAGGTGATAATGCCAAAAAGCTCTGATTTATTTAGTAACCCGTTATTTATTTATCATTGATCAGAACCGATCATGGGGAAATTGACTGATTCTGATTTCTGATCACTTGGTCGGTGCTGAAGTTTTTTTCTGTTGCTCTGCAGCTCCCACATTTTAGTCATTAGCAAAATTATAAAACATGCAGGATGAAATAATATTTATATATTTATTTTTGGTCATTGTACTGTACTACCAAAAATGAAACCGTGACATTGGGCTATTTAAGGAGGAGGTTGGTGCAATTGCTGACGGTGCTTTGTCCCGCTGTGGCATTGAGGTGTTGGCAACTTGCATCGAAAGTGGGCTGTTTGTGTTCCCTTTCATGCCTCTAGTCTTCAGCCAGCTCCTGCTTTGTTGCCAGTTTATCATTTTTAGACCCTCCTTGCCTCTCTCGGTCCCAGGTGTCCTTTATCATCTCTCAATATGACGTCTTCTCCTTCATTCATTTGCCAGATCTTTTTGTTGTTTTTTTTTCTTTAGATTGTTAAGGCAAAGATATTTTAAACTCCCAGTTCGGTGAAGTTATTGTGCTCAGTCATCCTGGAGCAGCAGGCCTGCTGTGAGCAGAATGATAAATAGGTTGATCGTTGCTGGCTGTTCAGCTGTTGACCTCCACCTTTTTGGTGACTTCTGGCCTTTCTCTTTGTTTTTCTCTATTTATAGGGAGTTCCTCTAACAATGGATCCCTCCATTTCTTCTCCCTACAATTCAGTCCTTGTTTTTTTCTTCTTTTTTTTTAAACACCTTCCCCTCTCTGTTGTTTCTCATGCTTCTTTCCAGCTTACGTCTAAACCATCATTTTTTTCCTCCTAATGTGGATATTTTACCTTGAAGAAATTGTCTTGCTCACACCCACTGATAATGATATATTTTCTCAGTTCTTACACTATATCACACCTGTCTTTTACGCCTGCTGCCTATGAATCTCATTGGCCTTGGTAGTACTCCCTTTCCCATTATGAAATGCAAGTAAAAGTGAGACAAAAACAACCGTGCATTTTCCTCCCGCATCTACATGCAGGCTGGTGTTACAGTGCTTTTTTTTTTTTTTTTCTAAACCAAGTAGAGACTAGTGAATTCTTATAAAATTGCTGAACATGTTGCAAAGTTACAACCTCTGCTTCAGTTCTGGGATTTCCTCTTAGGTGAAACTAAAAAGATATTGTTTTTATGCTTCAGGGTGGTACCATAGTTATATATTGTGTGACTTTTCCTCAGAGCTATGCCTCCCTCCTGTGCAAAACCCTTGGCTACTTTATGTTACCAGTGCTGTGCTTTGTCACAAGTGCAGCAAAAGCTACAACCATTTTGTAGGGGTTGGATTTTACAGATTATAAAGGCCTAATCAATGCCACTGTACAAATGCAGTATTTTTGTTTTGTGTTTTTTTTATAATTTGGTGTCTAGTTGTTTAAAACTACTAGCTACTTGTTCGCAATGGTTATGTTTATTTGTATGTCCAAAATATAAATAATAGGAACTAACCCTGCTGTTAGCTAAGTGCATGTTTCTGTTTTATTTGTAAATGGTTCTACTTTCCTGCCAGGTCGCTCTTGAAAAGAGCTGAGGGTTTAATCTGGATAAATGAAGGTTTATGTTCTAAATATGCATTACAATTAAGAGTTTTTTCTTTTTTTTCTGAGGACAGTTCCAAGGCCACACAAGTTTATTTCGAACCCATAACACTTATCTAACAAATTTCAAAGGTCTTAAAAGCTTCCTAGTAAATTTAAAATGGATAGCCTTACTTTCCTTCCAGAGTGTTATGCGCTGCTTTACATACATCTTTACCATGCAATCTATATTGGATGCATAAGTGTTTTTTTTATCGTAGCTTTACAAACTTTTAATCCGTTTTTTAAGGAAATGAGAACATTTTCACAAGACACATGCCTGGAATTTAAATGAAAAAAATAAAATAAGAAAACAGCACAAAAAGCATGAATTCTCTGTTGGCAGACACAGATGTCTTCTTCTGTCCCAAAACAAGGAGGATCTAATTCCACCGAAAGCGTAAGATGCCTGTTTTTATATGAATACTGCCGATCTGCTGGTGGTTTGGCTCTGTCCTTTCTTTTTATCCAGGTAGAGGGGATCTTCTCAGCCTTTATTACTTCTATTATAAATAAACCCTTGGTTGCCTATTAGTTATTTCTTCCTTCAAGCCGAAATGCTTCATTATAGCATGATGGCAGCATGTTTTTATCGAAGTGTAAGTTTTAAATTTACACTTCCTTCTCTACCCCTCTGAGAGATATTTCTCTTTAAATTGTGCGGCATTCGGTCATTAGACTTCTGCACCATGAGTGATGACGTTAAATTGCACACTTGTGGCAGGTCATTTCATATTTAATTCCATTAATGGGAAGCCGTCTGGAGGCTTTTTAAGCAGAACTTGGGCTCTAGAAGCACTGCAGACGCTGGTGCAACGACCCTCAAGAAAACGCATAAAAAGCCGCTATGCTGCTGTATTAGCTGCAGGATCTGAAGTTACTGTATCTGGCAGCGGTGACAGCAACCCTTTCGTTTCTTTGCTTTTATTTGCTTCACTCCTGATGTCAATGCATAATCAGCTCTAGGTTGGCTCAGAGGGTTCCCATGTTTTATTGGAGCAGTTCAATCCTTCATTGTCTGTGGGATTATTTGGAGATTGAACACTTGTGATGTTTACATTTTTTCTAGGGTGATGCATGTACCTATTGCTAGAAACATGTTTTTTTTGGGGGGTTCTCTCAGGGGAAATTTAATGCTCTGTTTTATTAACCTGGTGTGTTTTTTCTATGACGATGAGTTTAGCTAATTAAGTACTAATACAGGTTTCCATTGCAGCAATATGCCACTAACTTTACAAATAATTTAAAACCAAAGGATGGACTGAAACACTGTGATGGATAAAGATGAGTGTTCAACTTTTTCATGGTTCCTTTGGCTGCCTGTCAGAGGGTTTATGTGCATGCTCTCAGCTGTCTGTGCAGGGTTTTTCCATGTGCTCAGTATTTCCTCCCAGTAAAGACCATGCATGTGAGGTCATATTGGAAGGAGTGTTTGTGGGTTTCTGTCTCTTTGTGTTAAATGTGTGATGGAGGAGCAACTTCCCAAGGGTGGATCCCTCTGCTGGTCCAATTTCAGTTGCAATAGGCTCAAGCTCCCTGATGTCTGCATGCAGAATAAAGGATGCAGCCACCGCTGTCACACCCTGTTCACTGGGAAAATGATTCTGCTGCAGGACTTTAGGTTTTGTTTTTCAATTCTGGGTCACTCCATGCAAACTGGCACACATAACCTGCTTTGTAACTTTTTAAAGCTTAGCATAAAAGCTAAAGCATACAGCTCTTTAGCTAAGGTTTTACAATGATTATCTGCTTCTAAAATGTTTATCAAAAAATGATTTGAATAGATATATGGGGAATTTAGCCTAATTATTCACCAAAGGTAAACTCCACAAAGAAGTTAAGAAAAAAACTGCCAGTAGACTTTAACCAGCCCTGCAACAAACTGATGGTTCCCTGCACACAATTGAAAAAAAAAAGACTTCTTCTTTCTCCAACTGCAGTCAGTGAGGTTTGGTTAGTTGTGGTTTTTACCCCAAAACAGCCCTCAGTTTTCTGCTACTGAAGCAGTGATTTCAGGATCTCCTGACATTATTATTACGAATGTGAGCTGGTTAACTTTAAACTAGATAATAATTTTTTGTGTCAATGCAACCAAGCTATATTTAGCTTATGTACCATGCCCATATTCACACTGTACAGGAAAACAATGTTCCAACAGATTCAAACCAAGATTCTAGTTACCCAAAATTTTTAACTTTGGGTTTTTTTGTTTTGTTTTTTTTTACGTTGTTTTCTAAAAACTTAATCTACCAGTCAAGTGATGAAAATGCTTCCCCTCATTGTATCAGATTCCCAAATGAATGTCTTGCTATTATGTAGCTTATTTTTATTCTGGGTGGCTGCTCTCAGCTTAAGCTGCTCCTCCACTTTAGTAAAATAATGTAAATAAAGTTCTAACAAAACTGTTAAAACCTTTCACTTGGTAGGAATCTCCTACCTTTACATCTTTATCGGTTTGTTTTTTTCTTTAAAATACACTTTAGTGAGTGTGTTACCATGGTTTTGCTGTTTTACAATGATAATAAAGACATTCTGATTCTGACTAAAAGGGAAATCTTAGGTCAGCTATAAACCTCTGAAGGCCTTTAAACTAATTGGATGCAGTTTGTGAACTAGAAGAATCGGGCAGATTGTGTGCATGGAACCACCCTGTTGTTGAAAAGAAGATATTTTCTGTTCAATTAGTGCTCAGGGTGTGTGTTTAATAGAATGCCTTTTCTTACATTTCACCTCTATCTTTTCTATCTCTAGATTGAGAAGATCATGACTCTTATCGGAGCTGGCATTGATTTCTCCAGAGATCAGCACTATGCTTCACCAGGTAAGATATGACTCCAAAAGTTTCTTTCATGCACTGACCATTAATTACCCTTTTCTGTCAGTACAGTCACAGGGAATAACGAAGTAGACCTTTACTGCTTTTAATGCTTTCATTGATAAATGAAAATAAAAGGAGTTGCTTGGTGCTGTTAATCAAATAGAGCACTAGATCAGCAAAGTGTGACCACACCTGTAAAACAAGATGTTTTTGCAGTTTGCTGGTCTGTAAGCGTGCGGGAAATACTGAGTGAGGGAGACAACAAGCAACAGAGCAGCCAGTGATGCTCCTCATGACTCTAGAAATGTGTTTAAGGCCATTTTCAAATAAGCTAAATGCCAAAAACTTGCAGCAAGAATGTTTTAATTTCTGTGAGATCAATAAAGTAATATCTGATCTTATCCAATTGGAAAACATTTTGGTAGTTTCCCAGCAGGACTTACCTTCCGCTCAGAAAAGTGTGGAACTACATGCAGGTTTTAAAACCTTAAATTTTTTGTTAAAATAAATGGGAGTAAAGTCACAAGGAGGTAAAAATGGCTCCAACCCCAAGTTTCTGCTTGGATTTTTCCATTGACTGGGTACCATAACCTGCTTTGATAGATTCTAACTTTATTATCTTAAGATTTCAAAGCTAAATTAGTTTTTATATCGAATTTGAAAATTAGATACTTGACTATATTTGGTGTTTGGTTTAAGTCCCTGCTCTCCTATTACTGTTCAGGCTTTTCTGAACATTGTCATCAGGAGTGATGGATGACAGGAACTGTAGCGGCAACCCGTGCGATCGACTGCCTTCCCTTTAGCATTCCCCTCTCACATCGCTCAACATTCACCTTGACTCTGCATTAGCTACTTTTCAATATATTTTATCAATGCAGCAACTCCTCTGTGTCTCCATGCAGACTTCTTATTCTAACCTTCTGCTTTTTTAAGTTCTGCACTGGAAAGAGCTCCTTAAATATTAAGCAATACGTGTTTCAGTTGGCTGAGTGCATTTTACTGTGTAGTTCTGAGGAAAGCTGACACTTGAGTATTAATCAGGTTAGTGCTCCTTCACAGACTGCATCTGACTGATCTGATGTGGAGTTTGCATCGACAGAGCTTTAAGCCGCCGGGCCCTTGGCTCCGCCTCAGAGCTGCTGCTGTCAGAAAACCATCAGGGGACTCGCTAAAGAAAAGTCTCCCTGCTCAATTTGCACACGGGAAACAGAGTCACTTTTTCCTCTTCTCTGATTACTCTACAGTTTGAAAGCGATGCTCGGATTTGATTGGCTCCGTGCCCGCAACCTCTCTTTATTTCCAGCGTTTTACTGATTAGCTCATCAGAGTGAAAGATATATCTGGGGAGAAAAACCTGAGGTGTTGGTGAAAGGCAAAGACTGAGAGAAAAAATTCAGGAGCATAAAAACAAATGCAAGTAATGAGGGGTGTGCAGGAGGGTAGCATAGAGCGACAGAGAAGCCACCTGCAGTATTTCAAAGAGGAGGGGGAGGTTAGAGTGCGTTGAAGTAGAGAGAGAAAGAGAGGAGAGAGAGGGAGTAACAGGCAGGACAACGGGCGGACTACACTCCGGCATACAGGATCAAGCAGTCTGCTCTGCAGCTTTTTCGTCTTGGACTTTTGTCTTTAGCTCAGTTTTTTTTTTCTTCTGAGCAATCTTTGTCTTTTTTCTTTTTTTGAAACTTTCTGTTGGACCAAACCGGGATTAAATATACAGATGTGGAAATCCCATCTGGTTGAGCGTTGGATCTGTTGCATATTGAGTAGATCTGAGGAATACCTTGGAGTGGGACAAAAAAGATTTCTGAATATCAATTTTATTTAGCAGAAATGTAGTTATAGCCAATGATATTTATTCGTAATTAAGTAAAAAGTGAAAATTGAGTCTTGGAGGTATTTTAAGTGTTTCTATACTATGTTTACAATATTAGAGATACTTATTTTGTTGAAATAGGTCAGATATCCTTATGTTTGCAGGATAAGAGGCAGTCCTGTCTTTGTACTGACTGGCTGCTCTCAGCTCAGGCTGCTGACAGCTGTCACTGTAGCCCTGCTTTGTGATCAATCTCAGGTCATTGCATTCATGTCACAGGTTTTCTCCTTTTTTTGCCTTTACTGTTCGTTTTATTTTTATGCATCTCAAAAATGCGAATGGGAATCTTTGGATTATATCTTTAGTTGACTTAAGAAAGGAAGTTATGAACTCAAAACAAGTACTTTGACTATTTTATGCTCAAACTTTTTTTTTTTTTTTATTGTTGAAAATCAAACATGTTTTCACCTCTTCCCAACAAGCCTGAGAACAAACTGAGTAAAAACGTTGTGGTCACCCACTAGGACGCCTTACAGTTTATCTCTTTCCCTTGACCCCTTGGACGGGGTGATATACTCCATCTTGGCGAACTGCAGTCCGGCCCCCTCTTCCCAGCGGGAGCTGACGCCCTCTCCACGTAGGACACTGTCTCCACCGGCCTCTTGCTGCTTGTGCGCTCGGCTCTGCTGGCCGAGAATTATGTGGCAATGCCACGTCTCCTCCTCAGAGTGCCGCTGCTACCGACTGAAAGGTTTCTCTCTGCTGAAGCGCTTTCCCCTGTCAGCAGGTGCTGCAGGCCGGCTGCTGGAGCAGCCTGTGGGGGACTGGCTGGAGCATGTGGGGCTGCCGCAGTACGAGAGCAAATTGCTGCTGAACGGCTTTGATGACCTCCACTATATGGTAAATATTTTCCTTCTTTTGTTTCTGTACTGTGTTTCTAATTTTCTTTCATATCTCTGCTACATTTTAGTTTTCCACTGATTCTAAGAGAATTCCAGGCTGTGCATTAATCTAATTGATATTAGCTTTGGATGAGACAAGATCCCCTCAGCCTTATCAAAAATGTAATTAACTCAGTGTTTTGTGCCTTGCAAAAAGTCTATTACGTTTTGATCTACTGCCCATTACCACCCAGCTGAATTATAATTACCAAGATTTTATGTGATAGAGGAAAAGCTTTGGTATTTTAGTGTGCATCAGAAAAACGTTTATAGATAAAGCAGCAGTAAACGTTTAGAGATAGATAAAGATGTGAAGTTTAAAAAGGAAAAAGGTTAGAAAACAACATCCCAGGGTCAATACTCAGTCCATCATGGGTGATTGTCATAAATGCATCACTGTCCACATTAACATATGAGACATGGAGAATCAGTGTAGTAGCTTTAAATGAATTTCTAAAGCCCATAACTCGAATGGATCTGCTAAAAGAGGTTTTTGTTTAGTTAAATCTGGCATTAATGGACGTTGGCTAAATGAGATTCCAAATTACATTTATGCAAAAATTTCTTCTGGGCTAGCACTAAAAATTTTAACCAGGATAAATATGAAACACATTTCAAAGACTTATGCAAAGCATATCAACAGTAAGCAATCAGAAACTATCAGGCTTTTTGCCTAATGTTTTTATACTTGGTTGTATCCTGTCTCGAGTCTGTCCTGTGCTTTCACCGTAGTCACTCTGTCAGGATCCCTTGATGCTGATGTCACGTTGCTTTGCCGACACCTCTCTCCGGCCTGTAGCATGTGATGCCACTGCGAGTCGGCTCAGGTGCTGTGGGGATTAATGAGGACTGATGCAGGAGAGAACTAGGGACCAAGCTGGAAAAGAGAAGTTAAAAACAAAACAAACATGTTCAACTCTGAAAAAAGACAATAAAAAAACATTAACTCTTTAACCTAAGTGTTCTCAGAAACAGGTCATTATTTACACACAATATGAAGGTGTGGCAAAGGTGTTTTAAATAGTTTCCATCAATAAGCGTCAGACACATGGTAACAATAAGCATTAATAATAAAGGATTGCTAAGAATTGCTGTTTTTTTGCAGAAAATGTGCAGCGTTCTCTGATCAAGAAGGAGCAATCCTCCCTGTTTTATGGAACATAGAATTTCAGCTTTAAGCATTTTTTTCCATCTTAGCATTCATGTTTAAGTCGATGCTGAAGCCTCTGAAGTTTCTCCCAGGGTTTAATCATACTGCTGGTTTAAGCAGCTCACACCCATCTTTCTCAACCTTGAATCTTCTCTTCTTCTGAGCAGACTGCTGGCATAATTCTGTTTATGATCAGCTTTGGAGACCAACCAATTTCCTGACAGATTCAGACTAAATCTCCAATCTTTCAATGCTTTTAGAATTAGGTTAAAAATAAAGGGATCAGTTGTGTCTGCTCTACTTGGTGTTTTGTTGAGTTAATGACAGCTTCTATTCTGCTATTTTGGCTCGTCATGATGTCAGTCCTCAAGATTTGGATCAATAGGAGCTCTGATTGTGTTATGCTCTGCTCCTGAAACCTATTAGAGGCTTTTTATTGACTCCTGGTGAAACGTCCTCCCCCAAAATTGGCTCCTCACAGCAGCAAGCAATGCTCCCGGAAACAGGAAGCATCTTTTTTTTATGCAATAATCTTCCAAAAACTATCTTGCGGGTTTCTTTATACAGTGTTGAAAGTCTGCAAGATTATGGAATTAGATTTCTGTATTTCTCAGCATGTTATAAAAAGAAATTCCAGAAAGAAAAGTCTTAAATTATCTGTGGTTTTATAGGAATCTTTTGTTTTGTAATATTTCTAAAAGAACATAAATGACTAGTAACTCTGTCACTGCAACTCTATCACTGCTGCATGTTAGAATTGGAAATGTTTTAATTGCTGTACTGAATGAAATTTCAATTAAATTTGTCTAAGTCTAAAGTCTAAGTCTACTAAGGTGAGTCTAGAAACCTCAGTAACCTTTAACAACCGTGTGTTGGAACCCTGAACCTGTGGGGGTTGATAGTCTAAACCAAGGCCCTGTGTCTGAGCAAAGTTTTTATTTGCAGTCTTCCAAAAGAGAGGAAATTCCTTTTACCTATGTTGCCATGTTGTCTTTCTCTAATCTCAAGTTTTTCTATGGTTGCCATCATTCATTATGCTGCTTTAACATACCCTCCAAATGGTTTTCACTGAATTTCTGTCAATGCAAACAAAACCTTCAGAAAAATCCAGTGATTTTGTAGTGTATTAAGCTCTAAGCAAACTTGAATTAAATAATTGATCCCTTTGCTTTCTTTGCGATTCTTACTCTATATATTTAAAAGCATTTGTAGTTAATAAATAAGGCCCTTTTGTGTGATAAGTCACAACTTCCTCAGCTTTTTCTCGTTGGTCTGGATAGTTTTTGGACATTCAATTTTAACTCTAAAAGTTCCCAGGATTTTAAGCTTAAATTGCCTAAAAAGGCCTCTCCAAATTCTAACTTTTATAGGTCTTGAGGCATATGGAGTATAAATGAAGTTCTGGGCTCTATGTTAAGAATACAGTCTCTAGTTTACACCTGTGCTTTCTGGTTTACTGTAAGTGCACTGCTGTGTATGTGGTATGCTTTATAAAACAGCTCTGAATATAAAAAAACTATTCCAGCCTGGATTTTCTATGTGAAAATAATTTAGAATTGTACTCCAGCAGGCAAGTAAAGAACTATTTGATAGAAACACTGTCTTATTTCCTGGCAAGCATCCTTCCAATGATTGAACTATCTGCAAAAACGGTATTTCTAGAAGTGCTCATTTAGAACTAAGCCATGACACCACTTTTGCATACTTCAACATAGAAACATCAATGACACCTCTTTGGAAAGATAACTTTCCAAAGAAAAATATTTAGTGAAATATTTAGATATTATATATAATAAATATATTATATAATAAATATATTATATATATTAAATATTTATTGAAAAATCTGAATATATAACATGAGGTGAGTCATTTAGTAGTGAGCTATCTTTTAAATTTAGGCTCCACCCATATATATATAAATATACATATAAACCATTTATTGTCGTAAACAGCTATTCATTGGCAATACATTAATATCACTCATGTGAAGGTAAGTTTTTACTGGTTGAAATGGGCGTCAATCATGCTTACAGTTTTTGACTTCCTTGTCCAACCTCCTAATGGCTTTCTGCTGTTCCAGCCTGCCCCCATCGCCCTGTAACTGGTCAAACATTCAAGCCAGGACTTGCTGTTTGAACCGGTGGTAGCATCGAATGCATTGTTTTTAACAACTTTTAGCTGGAAATTTTGTTTAAAAATAACAAAATGTGGTGGTGTTTTTCCCTGAAGATGAGAATTATCCTGCAGTATTATCTTTTTTCTGGCTGTTTGGGGCAGAAAGAGGAGGGAAATATTGGAGCTTTCTTGAACTTTTTGAGTTTTGTGTATCTTTTACGTTTGTCTCGATAAAACAGCTGCTGCTTTTGTCGAGGTTCAGCATGTGTGGTATCATTGAAAGAGGAGAACGAAAGCTTTCTGTAGAAATGCGGACATGCTGAAATACTCATTGAAATACTCATAGGTACATGCACTGAAAGTTCAAAAGCTGTTCCTGGGTCGCGGGCGGGTTGTTTGGAACTCAAGGAACTTTAAGGTAGCCTGAATTCAGAGTGAATCTCTGGATGGACAGAATAGGGATAGAGGAGCATTTTGAAGAACAGGAGGGCTGATGTAGAAGAATGTCTGTCACTGATCTCTCTCTTTGTTGTTTTGCTATTTGGAGATTTTTGAGACCAGACTTCTTCATGCACAGCAGAAAGCCTTCCTCCCTGAGATATTTTATGCTAACCACACATCATGTTGAAGGACCTTAATAGTTTGGTTCCATAGAGTCACGCCCACAAAATCGTATTAACTGAAATATTAAAAATTTCTATGGGCTTTGTTTGATTAAGTATATAACATGTTCAGTCCAAAATCAGTCGATAAAATCAATATTTTCTATTTTTTGTTTCCCCATCACCAGCAGCTTATATATTTATTACATTTTACTTTCTGTCCAACAAATCTTTGGAGGATCATGTGTTTTACCTAGAGCCAAAGACAAATTGAATACTCCACAAAAATCATGTACTGTATAATTGGGATGTATTTTTCCCCCCTTAGTACCTTTATTGTTTAAACTCCACATGTTATAATGCAATCATCCATACTTTTGGATTATTAACAGCACTTCAATTAAGTGCTGGTATCCATCCAGCTTCCAACAATGCTTGGCAGAACAGGCTGCATGCAGTGGGGATGCTGCTTTAAGATGATGGTCTTTATGAGGTCAGCTGAGTGTCGGGTATCAAGAAAGCAAAGAAGACGCATTGGGATGTGAGCTTGAGGCAGCTGCATGAAGCACCAGTTTGGATTTAAAAGATTTTAAAGTTTTAAGTGGGTTTTTTCCTTATTTAATTTAGCTCCTTTTTCATCTAAAAGATTATGCCACTCATTATTATCAAACATTGTGTTTAAATTGGATATAATTCTCGTTAAAAATGTGATTCCGCATAAAGCCTGACAGGGACAGCTGTACTCTGTTTAAATCTACATGGGAAACAGATCCTCTGGTTTAACCTGCTGGAACCCCTCCTCCATCCTGGCACACCCTGCTGTGTATATGTGAGCACCAAAGCTCCTCAGGCCCATATCAGAGAGTCAGCTTCATGGACACTGAGGCATTGCAATTTGTTCCTGATGCAGCAGCTTCAGTGCAGGTTTTTACACTTCAACAGATGAAATTTAGTTGCTGACCTTGTCGATATATGGCAGCAATATCCACCTGCAGTTTCTGCTGACTTCTTACAGGCCAGTTTAAGTAATTTTTTACTTCATAAAAACATATTTGTCAGACTTTGTGATATCAGCAAACATGGCAGTAGAATAAACAATGTATTGCTTGGCCTGTTTTTTTAATCTCTTATGATCTCAAGCTCAAAGGGTAATGTTTCTTTGATCTACATCTGTTTCTCTTTTATCTATATATATAGATATATATATATATATATATATATATATATATATATTTATATATATAGATATAGATATCATCTAATGCTGGCATCTCTGCAATTCAGATATTGACTTTCGTGCATTATCAGTTACACTGTGATATTTATTGTAACCAAAGACTGGTTTTAGCATCACTCCTTGCATCTGCATCAATCCAGCCTTCCAAGCGAGGTCTCATGCAGGAAGGTATCGAACTGTTCCTCCAACAGCAGTCTATGGAGAATATCCCTCAGTGATTACTCATGTTTTCCTGCGACTCTGAATATTTGGAATCAATAACGCACCAGTGAAGTCTTTTCTCAGAGAGGATTTGTCTAGGTTAAATTTAACCTTGGATAAAAGTGGTCTGTTCTACATTAGAAAAGGATGATTAGGTTATATATTTGCAAACTGGATTATTCTTTGAGAAGTAGCATGTTTGTCCTCAAAGTCCCTTTAAGAATTGTATTAATGGTCAATATTCTTGTTATGGCAGCGACAATGATGCCTGTTTTCTGTTCTGCAGGGAAGCAATGTAATGGAGGACCAAGACTTGAGAGAGATTGGAATCACAGATCCAAGCCACAGAAAAAAGATCCTGCATGCAGCATGCTCCTTTCCTAAGGTGACCAAGCACTAAAATTTGTTCTCAGAATTTTACCTTACTCTTCTTTTTTGGATCTGTTTTCTATTATTTCTAATATATTTTTAGCAAAATGATGAAACGATTCTGGTACATTTAAAGCTCCCCTGGTAGATTTTCTGTGGAAGTTGCTGGCCTGTATTTCACTAATGCAAAACCAAACAGATAATACAATAAAAAGGGAAACCCTAATCATTCAATACATTAAGAAAAAGAAACTTGAGCTGGAATAATAGTTTTCCAGTCCAATAATCCCTTAAGGTATGTCTGATATACTGTCTTATGAGTATGTATGCTCCACAGATTTTAACTAATGACTTTAACTTACCATTGAAAATTTATCGGTTTTCTCCAAGATGTTAAATTATTTTACTGCACACAAGTCCAGTTAGAACCTGGGTGATCATTTGTTTTAGTTATATTTGTATTTTTAAGTACTATTCCTGCTAGTTATACTAATACAGGGACATCAGTTGCTACTTGAAAAGTAACTTGTGACATCAATTAATATTTTTAATGATTAATCTCTACTTGAGCCTGGTGGCATAACCACCGTCCTGAAAAGCCCAAAGCATCTGTGACCCCCAGGTTTTCCCTCCACAGGTAAAAGCCCTGGGATGTGATGGCAGCAGCTCTCTGTCCGCCTGGCTGGAGAACCTGGGTCTGCATGAGTACCTACCCAACTTCCTGTCCAGCGGCTACCGTAGCCTGGACTGCGTGAAAAACCTTTGGGAGCTGGAAATCGTCAATGTGAGTCGCACTGTGTCACACGTGGCTTGTGCAAAGTATCAGACGGTGAAATTAGTTTCTAAGCGTGTCACCTAAAAGTCAGTTTGGTAGTCTAAACTCTAAAGGTGAAAGCTATGATGTAGGGAGTACATTTTCAGTACATTATTTCTGCAAAGTGACAGAAAGAAGTCATTTTTTTGGGCCGTTGGATCTACATCCATCTCAACCACCGTCAGAGAGAAACACTTGTCTCATTTTATTGTAATTTCTGTTAATATTTTTGCAAATAGACCCCCGACCATGTCAAGAACCATAAAGAAACAAAATAATTACTGCTTGGTTGGTTCTAAAAATAACATTTTAAATGACGGAGGAGTTTTCATTAATATTTAAACTTTTCTTCTCTGTTTTGCTTTGTCTTCATTCAATAATACCCCACTTTGTTTTCTCCACAGGTGCTTAAGATTTCTTTGCTCGGTCACAGGAAACGCATCATAGCGTCGTTAGCCGAAAGGCCTTATGAGGAGCCTCCTGTCAAACCTCCTCGGTTGTCTCAAATCAGGGTAAGAACAACCTTCTAAACTATGAGGTCTGATCTGTATACGTGTCTTCTTCACTCTCCTTTAATCTAAAGACATGTTAAAAGACATGTGGTATATAAAATGCCCTAAAACTATGAAACCTTTTATTGCATTAGGATAAACTTGCACTAAACATTGTGGAAAAACCCAACCCTTTATATATCACTGGGAGCAAATACCATGTTCAGAAATAAATGTTTACAAATATAATGAATTCCTATTCAGGCGTTGCCAAGAGTCTGTTTAAAATCATGTATTTTCAAGTACCGTATTTTCTTTATTTGAGTTAAGTATCTTGAAGCTTTTGGGAAGTTATCCATGACTTCTTCTTTTGGAGTTATATAATTAAGAAATGGAGAGCTATTTCTCTTTGGTACTGCAAAACAACATGAATTTATGTCGCCACATGCAGTAAACAGCAAATAGTCCTCAACAACCATTAAACATAATCAAAACACCAACCAGATGTTGGAGTTTTTGCCCTAACTCTGCCAGGTCTTAACTAGGATTGGTTCAGATGAGAAATACGTTTTCTGCAATAAATACTGAGATGTAGCAAGTAGGGAGATTATAATGGGTTGTGCAATTAAATGCTGTTGTAATTTATCATATTTAATAAAATAACTGTGAATCGTGGTCAAAAAGCACATATATGGAACAACAATGCACATTCAAAATATTAAAATTTATTAACAAAAGTCATTAAACTAAAAGCCAAACATATTTTAGTTCAAAATGTCTTGACTAAACTAGTGAAACTAAGCTTAAATAAGATACTATGTACACATGGAGAAGAAAAAAGAGTGTATAAAACCATAGTTAATAAAATAATTCAACAATATCACAGATTTTATGTTTGAGGACCACAGTTTATCTTGACGGGTTTTGAATTAGATCCAGCTTTTAAACTGATTTACAATAATTGGAACGTGTTGCAAAAAAATTCAAAATGCAAATCCAAGATGTAAATAAATCATTATTTGGTAAAATAGTGTTTGCTGGATCTTTAGCCTATATAAGAAATCAATAACCATTTAGGTAATTAATTTAAAGCCTTTTGTTATTGTTCCTGAGGGAATATTTAAGCGTGAGGACAGCCTAGCTTCATTAGCAAGGTTTAGTTTTGGACACGGAGGCACTTGTTTAAAAAAAAAACAACTCTTTGGTCATATTTTAATAATCAAATGTAATGAGCATATCAAGGAAACACAGAAACGTTAATGTTATATTACTGTTATAATGAGGCTTGTTTTATATTTTTTTTGACAAACCTAAAATAAACAGAAATTCTTCACAAGAGCCAAAATGAACCTTTTAGGTTTTTCCCCAGATCTAGATCCAGCAGGAGAAATGTACGGTCAGCTGAATAGAAGACTTCAGCTAAATCCTCTTCAAATAAAGAGGATTTAAGACTGTGAAGCACACAGGGAGCAGGGAGGCTAATATTTCTCCATTGACTTTTTTTACACCCAAATTAAAGTCTGGGTGTTAATTAATGTATTTTTTTTAAGTGAGATCAGGCCACACAGCTATGAAAATACCCACATTTTAGAAACTTCTACCTAGATTTACAAGGGTGCACACAAATTTATGTGTGTTTGTATACTAAGTAATAAAAGTCATTATCAGAATCAGATGCAGATATATTGCCAAGTAGGTTTGCCCTTACAAGGAATTTGAATTGCTGTTGATGGTGCAGATAAATTCGATATATGTACAGAATCTGTAGCTATATACAATATATAAAATACAATATACTATTTTCATTATATAGTAAATAGCCATATACTATATACACACAGTAGACTGTGCGTTTATATATAGCAGGACGCCTGGCCACCTTCTCTGCAGACCGGATGACACGCTGGAGTCGTGTCTCTAACTCTTCAGCTAACGGAAGAACTGTGTCTAACGTCTGTCTGCAGTGTCAGGAACTGCCAGGATCCCAGAACTCATCCCCTCTCAGTCTGATGGAGCCCTACGCCGGTCGCTCAATGGACCCTCTGCTGCCTGCAGCAGATTCAGGCAGAAAAACAGCAGCAGAATCAGATTATGATTTGGCCCAAAGATATCAAAGTGGAAGACAGAAGCCTCAGGTAAAAGCTTAAATCTCTTTCATGTAGTGACTATAGTAACCATATTTTATGCTTCTTTGATGATCCATTTCTTTTTCCTTCCAGGAGCGATACGAAGAGATTCATCAAGAGCCTCGGCTGACCTTGCGACCACCGAGTCTAACCGCGTATGCCCCCGTCCAGAACTGGCACCACCAGCCGGAAAAACTCATATTTGAATTCTGCGCCTATGAAGCTAGTGTACGCTGAAGACTTTCTCATTATGATTTCGCAGCTTCTGCTTTTGATTCATATTGCCAATAATCTGTTATCACCTGTTTATTTGCAGTATCTGGGTTCTATGCAAATCAAAGATCTGAGGGGTATCGAATCAACGCAGGATGCTTGTGCCAAAATAAGGGTAAGTTTTACTCCTCTTCAGCAGCAGAGGTTGCAAGAGAGGGCATACATGCTGCAACTAATAGCTCATCTTGCTGTGTTTATTCTGCAGAGGTCCACAGAACAAATGAGAAAGGTCCCAACCATTGTTCTGTCAATCACCTACAAGGGTGTGAAGTTCATAGATGCAGCGAACAAGGTAACTGTTCATACTCAGCAGCTGAGACCTTTCACATCTCCTTCTGGTTTCATTTCATTCATGCATATTAGACTGTGATGATCAGCTCCATGTTTAGATTAACTGCAACCCTTAATAGCTCATTTATGTTCCTTGTTGTAGAATATAATCGCAGAGCATGAGATCCGTAACATATCATGTGCAGCCCAGGATCCAGAGGACCTGTGTACGTTTGCCTACATCACTAAAGACCTGCAGACCAGCCACCATTACTGCCATGTCTTCAGCACAATAGATGTGGTACGTAAAAACACTGATTAGCAAATCGCTTTGTTTTCTAAAGAGTGATGTATTGGAGCAATTTTTATATTGAAAAAGCAGAACTAAAATCATGACGTTGTTTCCTGTATAACCTTATCAGCTTTTTTCTCCCTTTGTAATAATTACTGCATTTATTGAGTGACCGAGTTTCAGGAAAGCTCCAATCTGCAAAAAAAAAATAATTTTTCTATCAAATAATTGACTTGAAATGATCAATTAACTGGAATAATTTCTCTAAAGTTATTGTCAATGTCTTTCTAGCTTGGCATCATAAAAATACATCATCTTAGCAAAATACCAGCGGCCTCATGCATAAAAGAGTGTGCAGTTTTTGTGCTAAAAGTTGGCAGTGGGGAAAATTATCAAAACTTGAGGCGGAAATAAATCTGATGCATAAAACCAGGTCTAACTTTGTTACCACACATCTTTCCTTTTTACATCCCAATTTGCGGAAAATCAAACCCAGCTGGGGGAACTGCAATTGACCACCTGTAATTTAGAATTTATTTAGAGATTTGAAAGACATCAGCAACTTCATAAAAAATGGCTAAAAATAAAGTCTCCGCTCAGTTATAAACGATTGGCTGGTTTACTCAAAGTCTGTATAAAGTCCAAAAGATGCTGCTTAGTCGTTCAGTTCAGCTCAATTATTACTGACCCCCTATGACCCCCATGCTTCTCTTATTAGCTCCATCACCCCACAAACGAATGAAGGCTATAATTAATGTTCAAAATGATTCAGAATTTGCCAAAAAATCAAATAAATGAAAATACATAGAAGGCACCCCTTGTTCACAGAAGCTGCACTATCAATTAAAATGGTTACAATTATTGTATCAGAAACTAAGGAACCCTGATAGATACCTGCACTGTTTGTAAGTAAACTGCTTTCCATTTATAAAGCCAAACAACAGCACATTTAAAGATCATGCTTTAGCAAATGAGTTCAGTCAAAGTTCTGATTCCCTCAACTCATTGATGTGTGTATATATAAAGTAATTTTCAGGGAATTTTATAAATGTGAGAACATACTCAGGGTGACTAACATTTAAATACCCATTCTGTCCATCCAGCGTTTCATAGTCATTACATTGTCACAATTCCAGAGCAATGAAATTGACTCTCTGTATTTAACCCCTTGGGGAGCAGTGGGCTGCCGCTGTGCGGCACCCGGGGAGCAGTGTGGGGTTAAGGGTCTTGCTCAGGGACCCAGAGTGGCAGTCCGTGGGAGTGGGGCTTGAACGTAGAACCTAAGGATTCCAAGTGCAACGCCCAAAGCAGGCATTAGCGTGAAGGGTCTTGCCTATGGCTAATTCCCCCCAGGCTGGGATACACACCCAGGCTTCCTGATTGCAGGACGGGTGACAATCAGCAGCTTTCTAAACTAAAAAATCTGCACGGCTTTACGCAGCTTTTTACAGACATGTGATTGTCTACACCTTGTCCACCTGTTTACTCTGCATATTAACCAACAATGTATTGCTGTTTTTTTTTTCTTTTAGCTTGTTGTTGCTGTGGATTTAAAACGTTCTCGCGTCAGGTTAAAAGTTTGCGTGCATTGCCATACATGTTCACACCACTTTTTTTTTTTATACATCCAGAGCTTTAAGTTAAACATTGAAGCATAGTTTGAACACAGACACACTTTATTCATGAGGCCACTGAGAAACTGTCATAAAAACCATGATTTTCCACACGTGATCTCCTTTGTTCCTGAGTTAATTAGGATGTTTTGATTTGGGACATTGAACAGTTGTTTACCCTTCTGGTTCAACGGAAGAAGCTTTACAGGTCAGGGTTCATCTCTGCTGAATGAATACTGACTTTGTGGAAACGTTTGTGTTTTATTCACTTCAGCTTAGACCTGTTTCAGACTACAATATTTTATGACACCCTGATGGGAAACTAACCAAGATGTAATAAAATGAGAGGAGACTTCCTGGTCACTTAGCCTATGTTTATTGGAATTTTCAATTTGTAATTTTATCCAAGCTTTCTGTAGATGTCTTTTTAAATCCTGATTTGGTTGGTATAAAATGTATCTTGAAGTAAAACCATTAAACTACTTGTTTACTTTGAGCTTTAAATGTTACTGCTGATTTCTGCATATTGTATTACGGTTCCATTTGTAATTCTATTTTTTATTTAAACAGCTGATACCAACTCTTGTATTCTTACATTGTTTTGCTCAGGTTTAGCTGATGAGTATATGATGAGCAGATAATGTTAGATTAATTAAACAGAAGGCTGATGATGAAAGAAAATGTATTTTAAAGTGTGGAGCTGTAAAGCATTGTCCCCTCTCTGTTATCTCAGTTTAACCTTGATGCCAATTTTTTCAACAGATGCCATTATGCAAGATTACACATGAAGACATTGCACAGATGTGTTTGAGTCAAGACTCTCTAAAACAGAAACTGACTTTTTTTATTTGCTCTCTGTGTTTAGAGCCTGACCTATGAGATTATCCTGACGCTGGGCCAGGCATTTGAGGTGGCCTATCAGCTGGCACTGCAGGCCCAGAGGACCAAACAGCAACAGGGCCTCCCGGCGGGAAGCAGCTCAGACGGCAATGAAACCAAGTCCAGTCGACCTGTACCCAAACCAAGGGGGAGTGTTCGGAAGTCGGGGGTGTGTAAGACATAAAACTCATCATGACTCAACACATTATTAATGTACACCCACTGAACAGGTGTTTTATCCTTTTAAAACACACATATGATATCATTTATGATTACACACAGTTGTTTTTGCTAGTCATACACTCTGGGCAGATAAAAACAGCTTTATTAATAAGAAGGAATCTCTATCTCTTGCTCAAGCACCACCTACAGGTCTTTCTCTGCTATTGCTGCATCCTTCTTGTCCACTTTGTCCCACCTCCCCAGGTTTCTTTCTATTATATTACCTGTGCTGCCCTCTAGTGAACACGAAATATAAAGACAAACCAGGCTGATGGGAAATATATCTGTGGACAATAAACTGCATTCATGTCCACAACCCAAATGTTTTAAAGTCTGCTTAATTGAATGGATGATCAGGATCATTGTGGGAGATATTTTTTCTTTTTGTTTACGTATTAGTTACTATCACAAGTCATTTGTGGTCAATTTTGAAATTGTTTTACCAAAGATGGAATTTAAGAATCAGTTTTTTTGCCAGTATTGTGCATACAGACAAGGAATTAGACGTTGGTTTCATTTTGCTCATAAAATCTAGCTTTCATGCCTTGAGAACCATGTTGGCATCTATCCTATCCTTGCATTATAAGCCCTTTACTGTTCTTTTATATATGAACCTTAATTCAGCTTTTAGAAAACATAAAATTAAATGTCATTGTTTTGCAGGTTTCCTGTAGATTTATTTCCCTTTAAACTCAATGTTCAATTTCTCTTTGAATTTCATACAGAAACCGAGCAGTGGATTTCACACAGTGACCCTAAAACTGAAATTTTTGTTTTTGGAAATCCATTTGATGTTACTGCTTTGGGCATCATGCCAAAAAAAAAACCTTGGTGTTGTTTTAGACAGCTCTTTTAAATTTGACAAGCAAATAAGCTCAGTTGTTGAAATTAAGCTTTTTCCAGTTGGATCTGCTTAGTAAAGAGAAGCTCTATCTGCCTCATGCTTCTCTAGAACACTCTATTCATGCCTTCATGAACTACTGTAACTTTCTATTGTGGGCTCAGGCCTCCCTTCATCTCCTGTAGTTGGTTCAAAAAGCTGCAGATCTTAATGATAGAATTGGAACATTTAAAGATTTATTATCTTTAAATGTTCCAATTCGATCATTAAGATCTGCCAATCAAGTAACTCTGGCTGTCTTGAGATCACAGGTGATAACTAGAAGGGATCAAGCATTTGCTGCAGCCGAGCTGAGACTGAAACAGTCTGTCCTTGAATATTAGAACAGCTTGATGTCTTTCTTAAAAAAAAAACAGCCTTGAACATCAGATAAACAGCCCTGGAAAAGAAACTTTCTGTGGTGACTGGTTTTCGCTAATTGCACTGACTGGAGAGTACAAGTCCTGGATGTATCAAAGCTCAGCCCTGATCATCCTCTTGTTTTATGGCTTAAGCCACACATTGAAAGATGTGCAAACGACAGACAGGATGATTGCAATTTACATGATTAATTGAAGTTCTTGTTGAAGGCTGTACTTCTCAAACTCTTCGAGTGATGATGTCATGCAACTTGCAGATATCTTGTTCACATCTGACTGAAATATACTGAATATGAGCTCTGCATATGAAAGTTTCTCTAATGAAAGAGTTCTGGGACCGTTTTGATGCGTCCCTATCCTTAGACACATTAAAAACATGCAGAACTCTGCTGCTTGAGAATTTATGTTTACATCTGCAATTGAACAGTATCAAGGTAGCCATCTTGGATGTTTTATTAAAATACATTTTCAAGGCCAGTAATCACTGCATAAACAGTAGATTTAGACAGCTAATGAGAAATTTGTAAAGTGTTGATTGCTCAATAAAAAAGTGGAAATAAAAGAGTGAATCAATATTACCTAATAATAAAAAAATACATGTTACCATGTATTAATTTATGTACTGAAGAAATAAAATTTCCTGAGGACAGCAGCAGGGACCTGCCCTGATTGAGAACATAGCAGAAGAGACATTCCTATTTATAGGGTGGAGTTTGTTGGATCGCAACACATTGATCGAAAGTTTCAGCATGATTAGTCAGATTCGAAGGTGAGCAGCTGGAGCCACTTGACGGTTGGAACTAAAGGCGGGTCTGAATTAGTCAAAGCAAATAAGTCATTCTCTTAAACCCAGTCTTATTCTAAGATTGGTAAAGTGTTTGACTAGAGAACAATCCAGAGCCTTCAACTTTTTTCACCTGTGAATAATGTCGAAACTCACAGCCGTGCACAGAGTTAATGTATTTTAAAGGGATTTATTTGATGGACTAATGTAGAGTACAACTGTGAAGTTGTTAGAAACTAGTTTTGTTTGGATGCTGATCTACACAGATCTAAATTGGTTCCTGTATTTGTATGCAAACAGAATCAGCTGCAAGATAAAGATTGAGATGATTTTTCTCTTTGTGTTTACAGGGGGATTTACTGGAGCAAGAGGGGGATTCACCGGCCAACAGCAGTGCCACATGGCTCGTGGATCCAAAGGAATCGAAACGCTCAATCAGCACTAAGTATGAGACCACCATATTCTGAGAGAGGCCCCCTCTGCTCCTCCTCTTCCTCCTTCTCCTGGGTCTCGCTGTTACTACTTCCCTCCTTCTGTGTGCCTTTCACTGTGACTTAGCCCCTTTGTTTGGCTGGACACCCCCACCCCCCACCACCACAAACCCCCTGACAGCCCAGCCCGTTACAGTTACTCACTGATCTCCATAGCTCCTTCTCCAAGTTGAGCCACCATTGCTTGTACGCCTTGCATTGATTGTTATTGCAGTCAGTCTGCAAGTCTGCCACTAACACATACTGTCCTTTAACTCACTTCTTTCCTTTTTTCCCCCTCTAACTGCAACCATACTGTTTTCTCTCAGTGATGAGCTCTTTCTTTTCCGCTACATCAGGCGACGGCCACTCTGAAGCTTTTTCCTTCTGATCTTTCACCTCCTGACTTCTCAGAGTTCTGAGAAAAATCCGAGAGCCACCCGCTGCGCTCGCACCATACGCAGATGGATGTTTCCGGAAGAACACTGTGGATCTGCTCTTCTAATTCTATGCATCCATCAGGCTTTAGCAGACTAGCCGTTTAGTTGAATGCAAGTGTTTGGGAGTTGCGGGGAAGTTTCCTACTGTTTACTGCTTGCTTTTAGCTATCCGTGCTAAAGTCTTAAAGCACTGTGAGCAGCTTGTTTAGGGGGATTTTTTTTTATTGTAAGAAAGATTAAATCACACTGAAAATAAGTCCAAATTAAGGTGCCTTGCACATGTGTTGCTGCCTTTTGAGTTTTCTCATTTTTTCAGTGCGTTTGTCTTGGGTATCTAGAGTATCTGACAAAAAATGAGTGCACCCCTGATATTTTATTGTAATATTGTATTCTGTTTTCCTAGAACAATGCTGAAAATATGACACCTGGAAGTTACAATTATCAGCATATGGCTTTTGTTTTAATGTAAGTTTGTGGTCCCCTTAAGAAAACTCGACCACAACATTGTTTAAACCGCTAACACTAAAAGTTATTACACCCCTAAGCAAAAATGTCCAAATTGTGCCCACGACTGACAGTATGCACCCCCAAACCATGACACTCCAACCATCAAACTTGGCTATAGTAGACAAAAAGGAAATCTTTATCTGCCACACATGCTTGACTTCACCCAAATCATAGAAATTTATCTGGATCTCATCAGACCTCAATAATTTGGTGGCCTTTGTCTTCTTTTCTTCATCAAACTCTGTGAGGGATTTCTGCGTATCTCTTCAGATCATCCACCATAGCATCAATATGCATCAATACTTTTGCAAGGTAGTGTATATTTGGACTTGCTTTGATTTGTGGAAATGGAGCAAAAGGGTGCAAACGGCGTGCTTTTCTACAGTGAGCTAACAACAACTAAGCACTTTTACTTAATTTTTGCGTAGAAACAAAACTGCCAAAGTGTCCAGCTTTCATTTTTTTCTTCTATTTATGACAAATGCCTTCAATGTTTTTTCTGTCTGCATTGCCTTTTGGTAATATTGCCAACAACACCTTTTTTGGTATGTGCATCACTGCTGCTGGGGGGAAAAAAAAGGGTTACCAATTACATAAATGGAGGGATGGTTTGTGTGTACATGTCTTTGCAGTTGTTTTTACTTCATTTTAACCCTCTTATTGTGTGCGTGTGTCTACTTGTCCTTTCCTTCCTCTAGCTGAACATTGCTGCTGCTCCCATTCATTGAGTTAGGACGGGATGAGCCTTGTTACGTAATTGGGATCATCGGGCTGTTTTTTTTTTTTTTTTTCCTTTTATTTTGTTTTTTTGATTGAAAAGTGACCCCTGCAGTAGCTAATATAATCAGTTCGATCATGCTCGCAGCACACATCTGGACCCTGAGACAAAGACGAGGTTCCATGCCATTTCACTCGCCACTTTTCATTTGACCTCTCTGCACACATCTTGCTGTCAGAGTATGACACAGTGTCTCTGTTCTCCGTGCATTTGCCTGTAAACGAGTGGCAGCCTCCCTCACAGAGACTTATTGTTTGCTGTTTGAGTAAACTTACCTGCATTCTGCAACGCAGAAAGCCTGTAGCTAAAGAGGAAGTTGCAGATAAGGAAGATAAGGACAGGATATTTTTTTATGCTTTTTTTTTTAAAGAGAGAGACCTCATGCTGTTGGCACAGACTCACTGTGTTTTCAAATATTGGAGCTTCTCTCCAAAACCATCTGCCTAATTTAATCGTGCATGGGAGAAACTTAAAACCAACACTACAAAGACCATCTCTCAGTGAAATCCCCCTTTATTTTATTTAGTTCTTATTCTGGCGGTTTTATTCATTTTATGGGACATCTTGTGTCCTAATGCTGAAACTGGATCAAGACCCTCTCCTTTTTTCTCTGTCCTTTTGCCCAGTTTAATCCAAACAAGGTTATTCACCATAACCTGCCATGCAGGCTGGTACGAATTTACTCTTTAAGCTAAAGAACAATAGGGTACAGAACGTTTTCTCCAGGTAACTCCCAGTACCAAGACTGGTAATGGTACTGCTTAATGCATCAGATTGAGTTTGAGTACTTAACATTTTGATTTAACTGTTGTGGTACGTCATATGACAACACACTGGCACGCCCTGTTTAGCATGCCGGTACCGGCACCTTTCAGCCATTGGCCTGATCCAGTACTGCTTTTGCACATTGCCAAGGATCGGGAGACTTTTTGTGGAACTAATCTGATATGTTGAGAATGAAAATGTACATGATTTTAGAGCTGTCTGTATTTTGATACTTGAATGATTTTTGCTTTTATAGTTATCTATATATGTGTATGTATGTATGTATGTAAGTATATCATTTTGATGTTTTTGTCAAAACAAAGGACTATGTCTTATGAAATAAAACATATCATGAATAAATGCCCTGTGATTTTAAAAACAGAAAAAAGGCTGAGGAAATGACTCAGAGGGACCTCAATTCATAAAAAAAGATTGTAAATAATCTTGGGCTTCCAGTCTTTTTTTATAGTTATTTTTCATAATTGTAAAACTAATAAATCTTGGGATTAGAATTACATGTGTTTCTGAATCGTTATTTTATTTTGTCTTATTTTTTTTGTTTTATATATTCTTAAGACATCTGTAAACTATTTTTATATATATATATATATATATATATATATATATATATATATATATATATATATATATATATATATATATATGAAGATAGAAGTTGATACAGACTGTCTACATATGATAGGCCAGGGTTAAATGCAGTCACGTGAGACCAAGGTAAGTAGCTTTTATGTTTTCTTTAACTGTACATCTTTTCAGAAAGAAAATATGTATATATTGTGGAAAAAGTGCAATATTTTTTGTCTTGGGGAAAACCTATATTTTATAGATTGATCACTTAGTGAAATAATTTAAATTTTTGTATTTATTGTAGATCACAGATAATGAAAATTTAACGAAAATGAAAAACAATTAGATAAATGATAGATAATATCACATAGATTAAAAAAGGGAACTTTAAACCAGTAAGTGTTTTGTAATCTTCATTTCATGACCTACACAAATGTAAAGAAGACTGCTCAGGGTAAGGCACAAAAGGTCATTTCTGTAAAAAGCATAATTTTCATGGAATAGAAAAAGGAAAAGGTTTGGTGGGACTGGATGCTCCAGCAGCAGGAATGACCACGTCTCTGAGACGATTGTTAATTAAGGTCCATTTTAGAGTTTAGGAGATTTTCGTAAGGAGTGAATAGAGACTAATGTGGGAACGTCGAGTATAAGCACTGACTGGCTACGAGCATTGAATGGAAGGAGTTGTTGAGGACTATGGGCCCTTGTAACTCAAGGGCCCATAGTCTGGAGGGACAGGGCCCAAAAGATATGCAGCTTGAAGGCAAGTGTAAGGTTAGTAATTTTTTTTGCAGGCTACAATCAATTTCTCAATCTGTCAGAAAATTTAATAGGACTGGAATTGTTAATATTATATTTCTGAATTTCAAGCAACTCCGAAATGTGATTTTCCTAAGAAATACTGTCTGATGGACCAATAGCAACATTTTAAAGTTAATCATTCCACCAATGGAGAGTAAATGCTGTTTTTCAGGTTTTGTACAATCCATTTTTTAGCATTTTTCTGCAGCAGCATTTTTGAAGCACTGTTGCTGCCAAATTATGCTTTAATTCTGTACAGAAGGTCTGAGATTATTACAATAATCGAAAAACTGAAGCAACAGATATTTTTTGTTAAAATGGTGTAAATTTGTTAATTAGTTGTAAGACATGAAGGTTAAATGTTGGTCCTGTAATTATTTAATATTGAGGCATCTAGATATTTTGGTCTCTCAAAACAGATCTGATCTCTGGATTAGTCAAGCCTTGTGGAAAAATAACCTCTGAAGAAAAGTATTTGCTATTTTCAACACAGCTAAATAAAGTTTTTAAAAGCTGCATATAAAAGGTAGCAGTTTGTGGATTTCAGGTTGCACACAGTTTATTTTAAAGATACATCATTAAAATTTAAACTCAGCAGGAGTTTAACATGGTTAAACACGTTGATTCTGCAGGGACAGGATGAATTACCAATTTAACAGGTGGAGCTACTAACTGCTTGTATTATTACCTGTATTTTCATCCATCTTCCACTAATCCAGGGACGCGCCACAAGGGTAGCAGCCAACAAAAGGAGACGCAGCCCTCTGTTTTCCCAGTCATCTGGGTCAGCTCATGCAAGGGAACTTTCTCCCAGGTAAGCAGAGGAATGCAGTTCCTCCAGTGTGTCCTTGGTCTTCTTCTTAGCCTCCTCCCAGTGGGATGTGACTGGAACACCTCTCCAGGGAGACATTCTAACCAGATGCCTGAGGCTCCTTAACAGGCTCTTCTCTACATGGAGAAACAGTGGCTCTACTTAAAGTCCCTCCCTGATGGCAGAGCTTCTCATCCTATCTTTAAGGGAGAACCCAGACACCCTGTGGAGAAAACAAATTTTGGTCGCTTATATCCATGATTAGTGTTGCACCGATACCAGTATTGGACAGGGCCCCGTTACTGCTCTAGTGTCGGTGAGTACCGACAAATAGGGCACCGATACCATTTTGAAATCCAAAAGTTTATTCAACTCTTGTCACCCATTTCAGGTAGGCAATACAAAGTTCTACTGGATTCACTTTGTATTAGTCTTTACCCTGCTTCTCAAGGGTAGGCAGCAGCTTGACAAAGCCATAATTGCAATTATTTTACATCCAAGTAGTATGCAGTTCTTCATATATACACACACACACACACACACACACACACATCAATTGTAAACAGATGGTATCGGTATGGTATCGATATCAGGGCCAAAAAATGGCATCGGCGCAACAGTGTTCATGATGTCATTATTTCAGTAAAAACCAGAACCTCATGAACATAAATGACCGTAAGAACGTAGATTGACCAGTAAATAGAGAGCTTTGCCTGTTGACCTGGCTCTCTCTTTGCCGTGACAGACCAGTATAACACCCGCTTTACTGCAGATGCAGCGCCAATCCAACTCTTGATTCCTGCACCATTTTTTTTTCTCCATTCAGGATCAAAACCTCTAGAAACTTAAATTGTTTCCCCCAGGACAGGACATCTTCCCTGACCTGGAGAAGGTAGTCTACCCTTTTCTATTATGCGAGAGCTGTAGATTATGGCCTGATAAGGCTACAGAAACAGGTCATTCACAAAAGGAAGACACCCAATTCCCGTCAACTACTTGGCTGGCCCTAAATATTCTGTCCATAAATATTAGGTACAGAATCAGTGACAAAGGGCAACTCTCACTGAAAAGGATTAAGACTTATTGCCCCTGAAATTGTCTCCAAAATAAAAAGTTAGTGTGCATCAGAGCCATTCAATCTATAACTGCTATTACAGTGGAACTAAAACTATCTACAAGGTTGTGAAGAGGTAGAGGTAGAAGTGGTGATGGTGTTAAGAAGTACACAAACGTTACAGATTTTCATCATTAATGCAGCTTTATCTGAACACGTCTGTTCTGTTTCTTTGAAAGAGGACTTTGAAAGAGGACACAGTAATGATCAGTCACAGCTACAACAGCAATGTTTAGACCTTAGAAATAACTAGCTTTAAAACATGTTCGTGTTATGTGTTGGTTGAATAAATGTGTTCTTTAGCATATACTAAAATGATTAACACCAAACACTGATACTTTCATTATAAAGTTTTATTTTACCATCTTACTATTGCTTATTTCATCCTGAAAAGGTAAATATTTTAGTTTAGTCTGATTATGTTGCTGCACATTTTAATATGCGGTGTCTAGTACCTTTTCCAACCCATTGAATGGGGTCACTAAGTTTGACCCAGTTTAAATGACCCAGTTTCCCTCTCTCAACAGCATAAACCCTGCATGCAGTTTAATAACATAACCAGGGTTTATTTTGTGTAAACACTGTTGAAGGATATGCTAGGAGGGAATTTGGGCACTTCATCTCCATTCCTTAGAAATGTGTCAGCTGAAGGACCGAAAACCAAATATTTAAGATTGTTCAAGAGTAAGATGCAAGTGAAGATAAAAGACAAA